TCAAAACTTGTATGTGTGTGTTTCTGCGCCCAGTCAAAGTCCACATACCAGCCAATCCTTGAAATGCGAACTGGTAACCTTATGAAAGTATGACTAAAGTCAATTTTGTAAACCTCTTTTCACACACACTGTTGGTTGAGTTTGACTTAAATAGGTTTGGTTCATAAAGAGGACTGGGACATTTTTGTTATTTTTTCTGGGCATTCAAAACCAGAGTGCCTTTTCAGTGCTGATGTCACTGTACCTTCACCTCATACGTAACTCGTACTAAAAGATTGAAGAGACAGCAAAGTGATTTAGTCAGTATTAGGGTTTTCTCCACAAATGTAGCAAGTTAATAGGATTGTAAAATCTCTAATGATGTAAGCTTACTTTTGTCATCACGGTTTGTAGATATAAAGGGATTACCTCAGGTGCTCCCAAACTTTATTCATGACAAGACAGGTCAGGCTGCCCAGGCCAGTAATCTAGTTATTTAAATAGGTATAAGTATCCCTATAACTCAAGGCAGCTGGTATTTTCTGTTCAGTTTTAGTTAAATGAAAGCGCCACCTCAGTCAGTTCAAGAAGCAATGTGCTAACCTTTGGCTAAAACCAGAAAACATGGTGATTATAGTCACCAACTCACAACAATAATGCACTTTATAACTGTTAAGAAATTATATTGACCAGTCCAATACTTGCCAAAATAATAAGAAAAGCCACATACATCCTTTTCTATCTCCTATGGTAACGCCTTATGTTGAGGTCGAAGTTGATGCTTTTTGACTTCTGCAGTGATTGGTTGACCTTCACACACATGAGGAACTTTCTAGATGGACTCTTGCTCTCTTTTTTTAAAGCAAATTGATACTTGTTGGGATGTTCAGAAAATTACACGTATGGTGTGTCAAGAGAAATGGAATAAAAGCAAGTTTAACTTAATTTATGAGATCTGCTGATCAGGGATCACATTTGCTCTGGTGAAATACTGGATGGTCCATCTGAGATATGTTCAGCATTTAGGTGAAAGGAAAAAATAATAAAAAGAAAAACAAGCAAATACACAAACAGGCAAATATAAATCAACCAAAAAAACAGCATTGAGCTTTTATATAGAACAGCAAAAACATCTAAACAATGCAGCACAGGTGGCAGGGTGCCACGATTTTCAGTCATTGGCTAGTTTATCAAAGCCACAAAGATATTAGTGACTATTGTGAGCATAAATAAAGTCAATGCCTTTTTCAGCAATCAAAGAACATTGCCCTGGGATCCAGAATGAAGTAATATCTTGTAAAATAACAACTAAAGTTATTAATCACACATGTAAAAGGAGTGCATGGTAAAAATAGTTTGGTTGGAGTTGGAAACATTGTGTTTTTAAGGTTACTAGTGTCCCATTCCATTTGAGATTATACATCTACTATGATGTCACATGTGAAATAACCTTTAATTAGAACTCATTGATGAATTGAACATTATTTGATATTCAAAAGTCACTGTGGATGAAGCAAGTAAGTAACTACATTTTCTGTACTTCACTGTTTCATTATGACTTTTTTTTTAAACGATCCTTATTCAGCATCACGACACAGCATAAAAAATAAATAGGTTAGGGTTAAGTGATGTAAACTGTGGCTTTGATTTTTTGTTGCTGGTGACACCCAGGAGCCTCTAATTCTAGATTAATTAAGGTAGCCGGATCCTATTACTTCAATATTATTGGCTTATGAATGGACATCTGTTGGGGCAAAACTAGTTTGAAAAGTTCAAGGGAGTCAGGAACCTCTTAGTTGACGACACAGTTGACTCCATTGCCAGATAATGGGGATCACGTTCTTATTTAATTAGATAGCAAGGAGCCATTTAATTCATTATTACTGGCTTTTGATTTGTATCTGTTGATTATAAACAGCCAGTAGGTACTCTCAAATAATACCAGACATTTCCAAACAGCTGTGGAGATTGTCTTTCAGTTTGATGTCACCATCTGCAAATTCATCTGACATCACACTTTATGTGTACTTTTGACAATGTCCCTGTGTCTGCTGTCATGTCAAAATGCATTACTAGACATAAATATTGTAGAATCTTCCAGAAATGCAGCAAATTTCATTGAAAGAAGTTCATATCCACACAACATGTCTATTAATGATTAAGGGGTCTGGGTCCTATTATGCTCCAAACCAACAGTAAAAACCAGCCCCTGAAAAGGGACTCCATAGTAGGTCTATTCACATTTCCAGCATCTGAGCATCATCTGGACACATGTAAACATGAAATGTTCAAGTATATTAGAAAAATTATAAAGAACTGTTATGACCTTTGTATGTTAGGACTAAAACAATAAAAAAAACGTTATTATGTTTTGTGTGTGCAACTTTATGACAATTATTATCTCTAATCTTCTGTAAGCAAGCCATTTTCATTCAAAACAAAGGAAAATAATGCATCAGTTAGACCAGAAAGAGGTACCGGTCATCATTGGTGTATTTGTCTACTATTGAAAAGTTACTTGGGATACAGGTTTGCTCTAACCTCTTACAAAACTTTCTTCTGTGGATTAAGGCTGTCTTCTGCCCTTTCAGGTAATCCCAGACTAGCTCATGATGTTGTGATCAGGACTTGGTGGGGACAGTACCATCTGTTGGAAGAGTTCTAGCTCTTCTTTTGGATCTTGATGCGAGTCGCTCATAGTATTCAATAGCTGATCTTTCCACACTTCCGAAGCAATAAGCCTTTTTTCTTAATGTCTGACTCTCACTGACTCTACAACAGCAGAGTTCAGTGAGTATATCAGGGACATGTTGTACTTTAAGTCTCAGACTAACAGAATGAAGAGAATTGGCAGGAGGTGAAGCTCCATCTCCTATCACTATCTCTAATACACAACCCCTCAGTCGCACAAACTGATCTGTTTGTGGTAGTCCAAAATTCAGAAGACTGTTGCAACATCAGATTCTCATTCGAGAAGTTGCTGACACAACGCAGACTGAGGTATGTCAAAAAAAGGGGAAAAATCAGAGGACATGGGGCTTTTTTCAGGAGAGAGTTTGTTTATATAAGATGAAATATTCAGCATTGACTCCAGAATGATGAACTTGATTGAAGGGGATTAAAGAATGTGTTCTTTGTGTGTTTAGTGACATGATCCAAAAAACAGTCTCTCCAGATCTTTACACATATAGAACATGCAAACTCACACAGAAAGACTCCCAGGCCCCGGGGATGGTCCTAACTACCACATCGATGAACAGCAATTTGCAAAGTTATTGTAATGAAAGACAAACACAGGGATGTCCAGCCCTATTTATGTAACTCTTTAGTGTCACACTGCTTATGCTGCCCACATCTAGAATGAGAGCGTATGTGATGGAAAATTGTGCATGGACATGGAAAAGTAACGGCAACTTCAAAGAGAGATGGTGACTTCAGATATCACACACCTAATGCTTAAAAGGCAGCCTTGATCTTTCTCCCCAGGCAGCCTTAAAACCATTTGTGCTGCACTTTGAATCTTGGACTCAAATCATCGCACATGGTGGCGGAATAAGTGAACTTTAACAAGCAACCTAAACAACCATGGATAGGGTCTGTCAATAAATTATACATGACCTCAATAACTCTGAATAATATTGATGTGAAAACACCAACTGCAAACATCAGACAGAAAGTTTTTAGGGCTTCTGCATTTAGGTATAACTGCCCCTCTAGAAATAATATTTTCTTTTTATCAACTCTGAAGTCACTGTTTGGAATATTCATTTTTAAGTTAATCTTATACCTGTGGCTACCTGATTTTGCGGTCTTTTTTTCCTATTGTACATTTGAAATTTGTTAAATAATCTTCAACATCTCACTTACATCTAATAGCTCCAATAAAGAGCTAATGATAGTAAAAAGTTATTTTTGGTGAGGGTTTTATATAAACAATTTAGTGCCTTGCCATTTGTATTTTCAATGTACAAGATGCCCCCAATTTTAACCTAAAATAAAATTAATCTTAAATAGCAAATTCCAAAAACAAAACTTTTTTATGTTAATGTTTTTATTAAGCGCCAAAACTGGCAGGACATAGCCCAGCATTGTCTGTTAAATCTCTCCTTTGACCTAGAAAATATATTTGCTAATCAAGCGCTGGCTTGTTTTGAAAGGAGGCGGAAGGGGAAGGAACTAAGGTTTGGCATGGAATAATGAGCTTATAACTATTAGGAGCACCGAAAGTCGAATGCTTACGTTTCCAATTGCGGTGGACAAACATCTTTAACTACCATGGTTTTTAGGTAACATGAAAACATTGTCATATAAAACTATGGCCTTTTGACAGAGTATTATTCAAGCCCTCAGAGAATGTTTTGTCTCATAAAAAAGAAGATTTTAGTATTGAGGCTTAAAACAATGGAAAAACCCCCAATGGTAAATGAAAATGTCTCTCATTTTATCTATCTATCTGCCTGCCTATCTGTCCATCAGCCTACCTCGCTATTTTATCTAGCAGCATGGATGTGCTGTTCACACTAACCAGTTCTCCGAAATCCTATTAGGAAATAGTTAGCTGCATCCCATCTAAATGGATAGTAACCCAACGTTTTAAAAACAGTCCACCTTTGATAGTGTCAAAATCGTGTTTGGTTAATTCTTTCTTAATTTGTTCAAAACCTTCATGTAAATGGGTGCTTTTAAAATTCATGTAGATACATATTGGAGGAAAAGTGGCCGGCTGCTTTAGTTTCAGGGTTTAAAATATTTTTTTTTACAAAGTTTCCCATAGAGAAAAGGCTAAAAAAACAAGGAGGAGACAAGGGATGTATTTCTCTGTATTCACCAGAGATATGGACGTTAAGTGATCATAATGCTTCTGTGACATGAATGCTTTCAATTAGTAGACTTGTCCTTAAAAACTGAAAAAGAGATCACTGCTTAACAAGTGATTGTCCTAAGAGATTATGGGCTGATTTCCAGATCCTCTTAGCTTGTCGTCTTATAACGTCTCTAGTGGGTATATAACCATGGCTCCTGAATCACATGGAAGAAGTTAGGGATCAGAGACAGCTGCATAGACTGAGACCAAGGGTAGCTGTACTTTGTTGATAGAGAACCTACATTTTGAAAATGGAGAACGGCACAGAAGGAAAGAATTTCTACATCCCCATGAACAACAGGACGGGGCTTGTTAGGAGTCCTTTTGAATATCAACAGTATTACCTGGCGGATCCCTGGTTTTTCAGATTGCTGGCCGCCTGGATGTTTTTCCTGTTCTGCACTGGCTTTCCCATAAATGCTCTGACACTGGTGGTCACAGCTCAGAACAAGAAGCTTCGGCAACCTCTCAACTTCATCCTGGTGAACTTGGCTGTGGCTGGACTGATCATGATCATCTGTGGCTACACAGTCTGTATTTATTGCTGCATGATGGGCTATTTCAGTTTGGGTGCCCCAATGTGTCAATTTGAAGGATTCGCTGCTACACTTGGAGGTACATTTTAGGAAATGAATGAATGTTTCATGTGTTGATCATGGTACCACTTGCTTGTTTCTAGTTTTTAATGAAGTTGGATATTTGTCTTCTTCTGCCAAAATACATTACATGATTGATTGTTTCTCAGCAAAATTTCTTCTCTTTGTCCTTTTTCTATTAACAGGTCAAGTTGCCCTGTGGTCTCTTGTGGTTTTAGCCATTGAGAGATACATCGTGGTTTGTAAACCCATGGGAAGTTTCAAATTTACTGCCACTCACTCTGCAATTGGCTGTGCATTCACGTGGTTTATGGCTTCCTCTTGTGCCGTTCCTCCTTTGGTTGGTTGGTCAAGGTACTGTTTCCAAAAGCCACTCTAGTGTAATACCATGTCCTTTAAATTCTAGATGTCATGAAGTTCAATTATTCATGAAATAGATATGTTCTTATTTAAATTAATAATTGAATGCCTTAAGCTAATAAAAAAAGGTTTTAGGCGAAGGGTGACCATCATTTATTTATTCTAAAATCTAAACCTGTTAAAGGTTTGGGCAATCCATATTTTTCTCAATGAAATGGCAAAAATGTGGAAAGGTTTGGCAGAAACTGTATATGTAAGATGTAAGATTTGAAGACAAGCCAAAAAAAGGGGTGGAAAATAGAAAATGAAATTGAACAGGTGGACAGATAGGCATTTTTGAACATGTAATGTGCACCGGTAAATTTAGCCTCACTGGAACTTTAAATGAAAAAATTCTGTGTATGTCTTCAACAAGCATGTGGAGGTACAGACTTAGACAATAAGCAATTTAGGTCAGTGACAGATATCAGCACAAAGCGTAGTGTATCTAAAAAAGGACCAAGACAGTCAGACCTTCAATTATCTGTCCGATAACTCTTTCAGAACTGCCACTGAAGTCATTATATCCATTCTCTTCAAAGCTACCAGACCTGCACATTCTTCTGTAAAAAATAAGATTTTTGGAGACTCCTGCTGACATCCAGCACTGTATAGAGTTGGTATATTGAAAGGGAAGTAATCCTACCAGTCTAACAAAGTATGTCTTTTGTTAACAGATATATTCCTGAGGGCCTTCAGGTTTCCTGTGGACCGGACTATTACACTCTGGCCCCAGGCTTCAACAATGAAGCATATGTTATGTACATGTTCTCTTGCCACTTCATGGTCCCTGTCGTCACCATTTTCTTCACATATGGAAGCCTTGTGATGACAGTCAAGGCTGTAAGTATTATTAGAGTTAAACGTAAACGATAAGTCTAGAATAAGATGTGTCATCTTAAAATTGTATTGATCACCTTGCAAGCTTCAAGCCACATATTGTGCAGTCAACCCAGGTGCCTTATAGAGTTTATGTTTAGTCTGTCAGGCACTGATGGTGTATATTAGATCTTTAAAAACTGGGCCTTTATGGATTTATCAAACACCTTGATCTATTTGTTTTCTTTTTTTACAAAGCTGTTTTCCTTCAGAAAAGAAGGAACTTTTAGGAAATAATATATTTGGTCTTAATATATATTTGCGCAGGGCTGACACGCACTCATGATTACAATGGAAAATGTTATTTAGATCTCCAATACTTAACTGGCATTCAGTGACTTGATGGATGGATAACAAGAAACAAGTACTGACAAAAACTTTTTTCCAGGCCGCAGCTCAGCAGCAGGACTCAGCTTCAACTCAGAAAGCTGAGAAGGAGGTGACACGGATGTGCGTCCTGATGGTGCTGGGATTCCTCATCGCTTGGGTCCCATATGCTTCCTTTGCTGCATGGATCTTCTTTAACAGGGGGGCTGCCTTCTCACCCATCGCCATGTCCATCCCATCATTCTTCTCAAAGAGCTCAGCATTGTTCAATCCTATTATCTACATTTTAATGAACAAACAGGTCAGTTTTTGTGTTATCTTGTAATGTTGTTACTGTTGATAGAAAAGTGGAAAAATCATGATCAACATAAATCTGGAAATTGATAATGTACCCATAGACCGAAGTTCATGGGAATTGATTGTGATTTCTACTCTAAAGAGGCAGGTGTTGATCACTTTCCACATAATTCCATTTTTGTTGTGGAGTTATTTTTTATGAATAAAAAGACCCTCTGGGGGAGAACACAAGATGTTTCAATATGAAATGATAGATATGGGTTTTATGTAGAAATGTCTGATATGGGACTAACTGCTACTCTAGTGTCTCCTCCAGAGAACAATACATACACATTAAGACCTTACAGCTTTGTTTTGCTTTAATTTGACAATTCATAATTTATTGTTCGAGTGTGATCTCAATTTCTTCTTTCATATTCTTCCTTTCTGCATTTCTTTCATTTCAGTTCCGTAACTGTATGCTGGCTACAATTGGAATGGGTGGAATGGTTGAAGATGAGACCTCAGTTTCGACCAGCAAGACAGAAGTCTCTACTGCAGCTTAAGGATAACAATTACCCATGTGCGGACAGCCTCCTTTACGTCTTCCTGGTTCTGAGTGGCATTTTTGACATGCAAATAAACAAACGGATGCAAGATAATACGCTCTGGAACAAATGGACAAAACTTTCTCAAAACTCTCTCTCAAAACTATGGAAAGCATTTTGCTACTCAACACCCATGATCATTATATTTGTCTAGGGGGGACTTAAACACAGCCTTGTTTAACAGTGATGTTAACATCTGCTTGGGAAATGTTTGGATGGGTGGGTGAGATTGACATTTGTATATTCATGATATTGAGAGGTTTGCATATGTTTCAGCCTTTGTCACTATAGCTTGTAAATATTTTATAAGGAAAAATGTAGATAAACAATAAATGCATGAATGAAAATATGTAAGGGTTTATGTCTTCTCATTTTCAATTGACATTATTGAGTGACTGACATTTATTTCTTATTTAGGCACTTTTGAACTGATGTGCATTCATTCATTCATTCATACATTCATTCATTTATTTTCTGTCTGCAAACATTTATTTGATCCTTTCTTTTGTTGCAAACATCATATAGATTACTGATAAATGTTAATTTTGCAACCAGGTGTCACAATGGGGTTGAGAGCAAGTGTTTGGGAACGGGGATAAGGAGTATCCAAAGAAAACATGAACTAAAGACATCTTGGAATAAAGGTTTATCAAAACTACAACAAAAAGCGAAGCTGAGCCGGATAATAAGAATAAACTAAACTCGACCACACAAAACCCAAAAGCTAAAAACTAAGAAAGACCTGTCACAAGGGGGGGAAACACAAAGACGATGACGTGGAATCTATACATGACAAAGAAGTTTACATAGAGGGGAGAGTAATTACTGAAATGACGAACCAGTGAGAAAGTACAGGACTTGAACTAATGAGGGATGGCAAAGGAAACCGAGGAACATGAAGATGGAGGAGGCATAATAAAACAGGAAGACCATACAGAAACCAACATAAAAGCACAGGAACACAAAACCTAAATCACTAATCCTAAACCATATAACATGCCACCTGGTTACTACAGAGATGATGTGTGTTACTACATGGACATCTCTCAAGTGTTGCCAATGTAAATAACTGACTTAGATGTGATTATGTGATTCAAATTCTGTTAAATAATTTCTAAAGAAGCATTGCAGGTTCATCGTATGTAGTGATATTTTGTTCTTTTTATTCAAAATAAGAAGCACTTTCTGATTACTCTGTTAACTGGTTAAAGTTACAGTTCTGCCAATGAACTGCAGTCACCAAAATATAGTAATTACTATGTTACAATCATGAAACAACAAATCCTTGGAAATAAACATCTTTCCCAGGCTTTCAGGGCTAAAAAAGCGAAATTACATTAACAGATAGTTTTATAAGGTGGCAATCCTTAGCGATGTCACTCACGGGGAAAATAGTGATCATAAAAATGGTAGTACTTCCCAAAGTAAACAAACGGTTTTAAATGATATCCTCAAGACTTTTTCTACTTGGCTTAAGTCACTAGATCTTCTATTTAAACATTTCTATGGTAATAAGACAAACTACCATAAAACCATCCTAAAAACTCTACCAAAGACCAAAGATTGTAATGGATTAGACTTGCCGAAATTTTCTCTGGCTCTCCCACGCTATTCCCGACTGGGGGGATCAGGGCTTGTCCCCTTTTTGCCTTTCCTTTGTGCTCGTTGGACTGTGGGGGGCAGTGGGGCGTGTTCTGGCCTTCCCTGGCTGTCTGTCTGGTATTGTCCGTGTCTGGCGGTTATTCTGCTGGGGGCACTCTGGCATTTTGGACCCTGGGTCCAACACCTGACTCAGGCCCTGGTCGGGCTGCAAGTTTATCTTTCCTGGTTCCTGGGGAGCTCTGTTCCTGACTGCAGGGACTCTGTCCAAGGCTTTCTCTGCTATCTTCTGGGTAGGTGTGTGGTATCCCTGTGATGGGCTGTCTGGTTTCTGTGTTCTGTGGGGCTCCTGATGTCCTTGGATGGGAGCGGTGGCCGTGGCCCTCTCCAGCCATCGCTGAGCACAATTCATTTAAGACCTACATCCTATTTTGTGCATGCTTACTTTAGTCACACTTTAGTGCTCATTATGTGTTATCTGCAGTGATCTGTAGTATATAAGTATCAACAAGTTTGTTCGATGTTCTTGCTGCTGGTGTTGTTGGTGTCTGTGTTTTGTTTTATGTTAGATTTGTCTCTTAATACTTGTTACTAAAATCTTCAAAAAAAAAACTTTTCATCTACATTCAGGTGCCGAAGAGATCCAGGGAGTAATTCACAAATGATTAATTCAAATATTAATATTTATATTAGATATTATGTGATAAAAACGGGAGAACTATAATAATGATATGCAGAATAAAAATGCACAACAGTAATAGGAGGACCTGTCGCTGGCAGTGGCCTCCCTAATTCAATGTACAGAGAAAATTACATTGCATAACTCACATATGGTTTTATATGATGTGAAATCGTTATTTTATTTTATCTTATATTATATCATGTTAGCAATGTTACATTATCATTGAACTATGTACTGAAAATACAACAGTGTATATATAATAACCAGAACCACATTGGATAGGAGAGCTTGCTCTTAAGGATTGTCTGTGCTTAAATAAATGTGATAAATGAGGGAGAAAAAACTAGATAAAACATCAAGACAACAGTATGAATGTTAAAAATAAATGGGAAACAATTGTTTCTCACATTAAAAAACTTAATTAATATCATGGTTTTGTTCCCATTTGTCAACAGGAGCTCTGTCTTAAGAGTCTTAATGTGTTCTCGGTCTAATTGACTTTCTCATTCACAAATTGGATTTCCCCTTAAGTCACATTGAACGTAAACAGTTTCAATTACATTGTTACAGTTGCTTTTTCCTCTAATCATTTGCTGTTTATATTAACGCTCAGCCATTAATATAGATTATTCATAATTCAACCCTCAAATTTTCTGCAGTACGATTGGGGAAGCCCTTTGAATCTGATTTTGAGATCAAAGCAAACATTTAAGACATAATTTGACTCTTTTACGTGAATGTATCTTGAACTTTTTCTGGGTTTCAATTTTATCTGTTTGACACAACTTTTTCATTCTCTTGAGCATTTAATTGTGGTTCAGTGGTGGCCTCACAGACAGAGGGTTTCTGGATCGAATGTCAGCTAGGGCTGTTCTGTGTGGAGTTTGTATGTTATCCCTGATTATGCCTGGTCCCTCTCCAGGTGCCCCACTTGTGAGTTAATCGTTGTTTCTGAATTGTCTGTAGACCTTAAATTGACCATATTCGGTTTTCACTGTGTGGTACCTTTCTTTTTGCCCTCTGACAGTGGGGATATTCTCCTTGCGTAATTAGATAGCATAATAGTTGGGTGGATGGACATGAACAAACACATCCCATGGCCTGTGTTAAAAGGAATTAGGGGCCATAAGGGTTCAATAAGTCAATGTTAAAGTTGGCTATTTGGGTAATTGAACTCTGTCTCACACAGGACTTACGAATCCTATAACACAGTGTTACGGTTTTCTTTCCTTAACTTCAGTTGCAAAACAGAAATATATTGGTCTCAAGAGAATGGTTTCAAAATGTGAATGTCATATAACTCATCATATCTATGACTTTGTTGTAAGCATTTTAAATATACTTTAAAAAATTTATTGAAATACGGTTCGGTTCATAAGTGTTCACTCAATTTATTTACAGCAATATGATGCAAAACATCTCTAATTGAACCAATGGAAATGTCAAAGTGATACTGTTGTGTTTTTGGTTTAATTGCAAGTAGTGTTAGTATTGCTCATACGACTTGGGACCAAAAAATACCCCTCGCCTCCACCATAAAAAAATCACTCTTAGCAGAATTGTCAGGCCAGTGCAGGGATTGTTATTGTGTTAATGTGCTTAAGTTTGAGAGATCATTTGCCCATAGGCTCTGAAATTTTCATTAAAATTTGTAGGTTTTCTCAGTTTTACAACCCAGTGACCATTTTTCTTCTTCCTCTTGAAGAAGAAAAAGAACCCACCTTCTTTGGAAAGTGGTTGCTGTACCTTTAGTAAACATTTATAGCAAGGGTCAGCTTGACCAGAAGACAGTGACCTTAAGATGCCTTGTGTGGGAGCTAACACCCTCTACTGGTGGGATACTGGACCATGTCCATGTTCATCGTCAGGCTGAGAAATCTCCATCCATCGATTGTCTACACCACTTATTTTTAGTGTGATCGAAAGAGGGCTGGTCCTCACCCAGCTGACAGTTAGCGAGATGCATGCTATACCCTGTACAGGTCACCTGATGTGTCATGTTTCCTATTTTGTATAACCATGTTTCATTTGTTGGACTATGTGTCTTTACCTATCAACTATTCTGAAATCATTTCTGTTTCTTCATTTTTTTTCTATTGTCTTTCTCATTACACTTTTGCATGTTATTGTCAAATATATCATTGCATTTTTCATTCATATGCAGAAATATCTGGGAAATATTTGCCCATAGTCATTTCCCAGTTCCCCACCTTACCTTGAGTGGGAGAAAGGCATCTGTCCCCTCCCACAAAAAAGCAGATGTCTACAAATTTACAGAATTTGTTGTGTATGATGAGAGTAATAAATAATGAAATGATTAATTATTAGTTATTATCTGTCCCAGAAATTTGGGGAAGAAGGAATAATTCAGAGTACAGTTGAACTAATAATTTCCGCCCCAGGTAATTCTGGTAAAAAAAAGGGAGCAAATGTCTCACAATTCATGTTAATATTTAAATATAGATAATGAGATGAACAATTGAGCCAAATCATGAAATGATAGATTGTTGTTTCTCCCAGAAATACGTTTATAAACAACCTTGATAAAAGCCAGTTTCTGGACTTGATCACTTTACATTGCTCAGAAAGCAGATGTCATTAAGATTTCAGTCTTTTGCTCTTTGGGTTTTCCAATAAAAGACTAAAGTTGACTAGAGTATTTTACACATGCATTTATTATCTATTCCACTTGTTTTTTATGTCTTTCAGTACGATACAAAATGTTTCTTTACACCAGTTAGTTATCTGCAAACACTTGCTCAATTTCTCATTTTCATGTGCGTACTGTTTTTGCAAACATTTATAAGGATTTACTCTTGTTACAATACACATTTTAGCATATATGACACTAAAAATCAGTGGTTCATTTGGCAAAAGTTCAGATATAGTTGAATGGGGTCTTTTAAAATTGGAATGCAATCATCCTTAGGACTGTCCAAAAGCCTGAAGAAGTCATCACGATTCAGACATGATCCTTAAGCAGCAGTTGATACTTCTGTCTTGCTTGTTGAAACTGACGTCTCATCCTCAACCATCCCACCCATTCCCAGAGTGGTCAGCATGCAGTTACGGAACTAAAAAAACAAGCCAAGAAGAACAACTTATAAAAAAATCACGTTAAAAAAACAGAAAGCATATAGTGGAAACTAACATAAAGAACAAACCTGTTTGTTCAACAGCACATAGATTATAGCATTATA